AATATGAATTATCAAAAAAAAAAGAAAATATGGGAAATTCTGATTCCTGGGTTTTATGATAAAATTAATAAAGCATTTTTGTTTCTTTGTTTTTTTAGGTCAGACCCTGAATATAAATCATGTTCTTAACCAGTAGTTGATGTACACTTTTACTCACCTTAACAGTACTGCAGTGTAAACCTTTGGCCATAAGAATGTAAACCAAATCTCTTGTTAAACTGTCTTTAATTCCCAGGATAACCCCACTATACACAGAAGGTACTTCCCACTAGAAGAAATAAAAAATATATAAACACACACACATACACAGAAAGCCAAATCTAGGGAAGAATCTTTCAATAATCTTCAATCACATTTAAAGAAGTCCTGGAAAGGTCGCTTTTGTAGAGAAAGGAAAATGACAGCCATAATGAAATGTTAATAAAAATGAACATATTCACTACAAGCCAGTAATAAATTAAATGGATTGGAACTTTCTAAAGAATAATCTATAGAAAAAAAGGGAAAAAAGCCCGAGGAGTATATGTATTAATTTATGGGATCCTCAACAAAATACGATGAAGTAGGTACCATCATCCTCATTTTACAGGTAAGAAAAGCGAACACACAAATATCAAATAACTTGCCCAAGACTGATTACATAACTAGTAAGTATAGAGGCTGGGATTCAAACTCAGGCAGTCAGAACTCCCTCTCTTTACTATGCTAGACTTCTTCATCTATAAAAATGAGCACTAATAATAACATCAACATTAATGAAGCCCAACACTAATGTTCAGAGAAATTTTTCATTCCACTGCACTTACATGTTCAAATCCCATAAACTCTACATAAAGTTCTGGCTGCCTTTTTACTACATTTTCAGCAGAGACGTATGCAGTGAATTAGGCATACTGCCATACAACTGTAATTTCTCCCGTATCTATGTGCTCTCTCTCGTATCTTCAGCTACATTCCACTGAAATGTTCTAAAAGTTATTTTCACGTGCACTTTGCATGCAGGAAAGCTTTTGAATAGATAACCTTAGAAACAGGTAAATCCATTAGCTGGGTATTTTTAAATGAACATATAAAGCCAAAAATGTCTTAAAAAGTTTTAACGAATCAGTTCCAACCTTCAGGCTTTAGACTTCAAGAGGGTATTAACAAAAACAAAAATACTCTATAAGCACATAGCAAAGAGCAGCTACAGACTGCATAAAGAATATTCCTTATACATACACTTACAGCTTTATTTAAAGTATATGGAGATGCTATGACAATAAATAGGACATAAACTTATTCTTAGAGGTTACGGAGCCTCTCCCCCACTTGTGTGTGCGTGCTCCCTCAAACAAAATCTTTTTTAAAATAAATAAATTACATCAGAAAATAAGTGTAATTTTCTTATCTGTCCTTGACAAAGGGTTTCTAACCTTGTTAGACACAGTCCAGAACTGGCGCTCTGAAGTCATACCATGTAATTCAATTAAAATCTGTCGAATCCTCCAGGGATCCACTGACAATATCAGCTGATGCTCCAACTGACCAATGTTGACACTTGCTGAAGCTAAGAAAGAAGAGATTTCCATTTCAATAATGACTTAATTCAAAGAAATCCTTAATCCTACAAATATGAGAATGATAATTTGTTGAGAGAAATTGTATATGTATGTTAAGTATTATATCTGTGAGAAACAGCTCTCATCTTCAGAACTCATTCAACATAAATTACATATTAATTTTATCTGCCTACAGAAAACCTAACAGTTTGTATTAAGTCTGCATTTAATAAATAAATACAATGAAAATACAAACAAAGATAAAAATCAGTAACTGGTTCACAGAAAGAACTAGGTGGAATATATGGAAAAAATTATGTAGACAGTCTCCTACTTTCAAACAATGTGTTAATAAAGGCATGTGTAAATATATTTTTGTTTTAATAAATACTAAAAATGTGGGTTTTTTTTTAAAGGCAGAGGAAGAGAAGGTGGAGGCACTGCCTTCCCAGAAAACCAAGATCATTAAAATCTCTAATTACAACTAGACTTTCAGAGAGTCTTCATTAATCCATTCCCAACAATTTAGGTCTTAATGGCATTTTTCCTAGTGAGGTTCAAAGCAGCTACAATTTTGTTTTGTTAAACCAAATGATTCTGTCTCACCTATATTAAGCTCTAAAGCTTATGTTTCTTATTAATGAAAACCACTACATCTTCTACTTATATTCACAAAATAAAAGCAAAAACAGAAAAAAATCATCAAATAAATAAGGCAAAAATAGCCATGTCGCCAAAGAGGAATGCTTAGCCAGCAGACAGTGTCACACAGCACTGTAGGCTGAAATGCACGAGAGCCTGTATTTTTTATGAGTCTCAGGACACTTTACCACTCCCCTCCCAGCTCTCATTTTTACCTCCAAGACAGCATCACCTTTGTCTATTTCCCCAGCTAGAATCTTGTATGTAACTAGGCCTCAATCTCCATTAAACACAGACTCAGCGGAGTTCGGAACTTAATGCTTAGACAGAAATACGACTACAAAAGACTGGTAAATTTCTAATCAATTACTGATATAAGTATAAATTAAAACAAGTGAGAGGACATCCTCAAATACACTGAGGGGCAATATAATAGAAGGGCAAAATGTGCCAACATTTTCGCTAGCAGACTAGAGAGCTAACCTGGGATATCATAAAATGAAGTTACAGGTTTAATGCACAGATTTACTCTAGGGGATCTCTTCCTCATCTGATCAACAAGTAGCTTTCGTTCTTCATCTTTCAACAATGTAATGAAAAGCTCATGTGAAGAAATCATGAAAACATACTGCAGATCTTCCAACCCCAGACACACATTCCTAGATCAGTAAAAATATTGTAAAACAAAAAAAGTTTATAATTTAGTTTGGGAAAAACAATCATGTTAACCAATCTTTATTAATAAACCATTTAACAAACTACCACTTCATAAACTATATAATAATATTTGAAATAGATTTAAAAAATTTTTTGGTCCTTATTTAAAATTGTGAAGTCAATGTCAAAATATACAAAAAGAGTAATATCAATCCTGAATTTTGTGTCACTACACAAATCTGAACGTAACCGGCTCTCAAATGACTGCCTGGTTATAAGACATGCAGGATAAATACAAAAAGTAATGAAAGTTATTTTTCTCACAGGACTAACTTGAAAGTTAAGGGGGAAAAAAAGGCACTTACTTTAGAAAAGCAGCCATGTTTCCCTTCAAAGAATCTGAAGCTTTTTCTAAATTTATTGATCTTGAACATACCTAGGAATTTGAGTAATTTTTATTTGAATATTGGCACTTTAAAAAACATACCCTACAGTTTGAAAAGTTTACATTTAAAAACAACCAAATTCTCCTTCAGGCACATATCAATCACAGATTTGTCTAAGTAATTTAAAAGAGGAGACTATGAATAAGAATCATTATGGGGAGAGGGATTGGAATGTGATCATTTCAACAACTGCAGGTATTTACATGAAATAAAGAATAACCTACCTAGCATGGTATAGAGTTTTCCCAGAATGTATAAAGTACGTTAACCAATTCTATGAGGTGATAAACTCTACAGTAGCTCCAGTCAGAAAAGTGAAAGAAGATTCATCTAAGATAGCTGAATTGATCAGTAACAGCTAAAGTATATAGAACCAACGATTAAGAAAGTAACTAAGGTTTTAAAAATAAACCAAAATTAAAGAACAAAAACTAGCTGTGGAAATGTTAGTTATCTACAAATAACAGTCTCATAATATTCTGAGTTTATTCATCAGATTAAGACTTCTCCCATATATTACTTACAAGAAACCAAAATAAAGCCATCAGTATAAAAGTCCCTAACCTCTGGAAATTGTCAAATATTCCCTAATATGTTAACAAAAAATATACAATGTTCATAGCAGCACTACTCATAATAGCCATGAATTGAAATAACCCTAAAGTCCATCAACTGATAGACATACAAAATGAACAATGAATAATGTATCCATTCAAGGAAGTATTATTCAGCCACAAAAAATAATGGAGCACTGATACATGCTACAATATGGATGAACTCTGAAAACATTTACTAAAGTCAATTTAAAAGGAAAAAAAAAAAAAAAGGACCACAAAGGGGTGCCTGGTTGGCTCAGTTGGTTGGGTGTATGACTCTTGGTTTTGACTCAGGTCATGATCTCGGGGTCCTGGGATAGGGCCTTGTGTTGGGCTTCGCACTTGGCGTGGAGTCTGCTTGGGATTTTGTGTCTCCCTCTGCCCCTCCCCCGCTCACACTTGTATTCTAAGATGAGTAATAAAAACTTAAAAAAGGGGGGGGGGGACCAAATATTATTTTCCTTTATATAAATGCCCAGAATAGGCAAATCCAGAGACAAAATTAGATTAGTAGTTACCTGCGGTTAAAAGGACTGAGGGAAAATGAGGGATGACTACTAATGGATAAGAAGTTTTGCTGTGGGGTAGAAGAGGGAGGATGAAAAATTCTAACACTGACTGAGGTAGCAGTTGTACAAATCTATGAACATACTTTAAAAAAAAAAACACACTGGATTGTACGCTTTAAATGGGTGAATAGTACGATATGTGATATACCTCAATAAAGCTGTTATTAAAAGGGAGGGAAAAAAGGAGCACCTGGGTGGCACAGTCAGTTAAGCATCCAACACTTGATTTAGGTTCAGGTCATGATCTCAGGATTGTAGACTGAGCCCCACATCAGGCTCCACGCTGGGTGTGGAGCCTGCTTATGATTCTCTGCCACCTCTCTCCCTCCCTCTCTAAAAAAAAAAAAAAAAAAGGTAATTTTTCAAGTACCATGCTCAGAAACAGCATTGTAAAAGTTCTATGCTCAGATGAATAGATTATCAGCATATAGCACACCTGAACATCTTGATGTGCAAAATGCTTGCATCATAATAATTTTGCTCCACGCTATAAATACTAATGATCTTATAATAAGTAATACCTGAATATGCTTTCATGATAGCTTATTCATACACAGTGATGCTCTGTACATGTGTCATGAAACTTAGGGAATAGGTGTTAACTTCTGATAAGCAATATAACAAATGTGTTAATTAAGCTCAATTCTTAAAACAATTAAAACATGAAATAGGGGGCATCTCTATAAATGCTGTAAACATTTTCTTTTTTAAAGATTTTATTTATTTATTTGACAGAGAGCCCAAGTGGAGGGGTGGGGTGCATGTTGAGGACAGGGGTAGTGGGAGAAGCAGACTCCCCAGACGTTTAACCAACTGAGCCACTCAGGCGCCCCAATGTTACAAACATTTTAAAAACTTAATAAACTTAAAAATGTAGGTGAAGGGGGGTCATCTGGGTGGCTCAGTTGGTTAAGCATCTGACCCTTGATCTCAGGGTTGTGAGTTCAAGCCCTGCATCGGGCTCAACACAGCGCATGGAGCCTACTTAAAAAAAAATTTAGATGAAGTGGATAAATTCTTAGAAAATAACCTCTTAAGGGGCGCCTGGGTGGCTCACTCATTAAGCGTCTGTCTTTGGCTCAGGTCATGATCCTAGGATCCTGAGATCGAGCCCCGCATCAGGCTCCCCACTCTGCGGAAAGCCTGCTTCTCCCTCTCCCACTCCCCCTGCTTGTGTTCCCTCTCTCACTGTCCCTCTCTCTGTCCAATAAATAAATAAAATCTTAAAAAAAAAAAAAAAAAAACTCTTAAAAATAATCAGGAAAAATAGACTACCTCTATACCCACTGATGAAACTGAAGCAATGCCAGAATCCTCCCTTACACAAAAAAATCTCCAGGCCCAAATATTTCATTGGTAAATTCTACCAAACACTTAAAGAAGCAATGAGTTCATTTTTATGGGAACTTTTCCAGGCAAGGAAAAAAGATACCCCAATTTATTTATGAGGTAAGAATGACCTTGGTACCAAAATCAAAGGCAGGACATGAAAAAAAAAATAGATGTATCAATCTCATACACGAATGTAAAAGACCTTAAAATATTACAAACTAAATCCTGCAATATGTATTTTAAAAAGATAACATATACCTAAAACTAATATAATGTTATATGTCAATTACATCTCAATTAAAAAAAAAAAGCCATGACCTAGCTGAGTTTACTACAAACAAGCCAAGGTAGTTTAACACTTAAAAATTAAGATTTTTGCAGCCACCACAGAAGACAGGATGGAGATTCCTCAAAAACTTAAAAACAGAACTACCATGTAATCCAGTAACTGCACTACTGGGTATTTACCCAGAGAATACAAAAACACTAATTCGAAAGGATATATGCACCCCCATGTTTACTTCAGCATTGTTTACAATAGCCAAACTATGGAAGCAGCCCAAATGTCCACTGATAGATAAATGGATAAATAAGATGTGGTATATATACGATAGAATACTGCTCAGCCATAAAAAAGAATGAAATCTTGCCATTTGCAACAACATGGATGGAATGAGAGTATACTGCTAAATGAAATAAGTCAGAGAAAGATAAATACCATATGATTTCACTCATATGTGGAACTTAAAACAAATGAACAAAAGAAAAAAAGAGAGAAAAACCAAAACAGACTCTTACCTACAGAGAATATCTAGAGGACTACCAGAGGGGAGGGGGGTGGGGGATGGATGAAAACGGTGAAGGGGATTAAGAGTACATTTATCTTTTTTTTTTTTTTTAAGATTTTATTTATTTATTTGAGAGAGAGAATGAGATAGAGAGCATGAGGGTCAGAGGGAGGAGCAGGGAGCCCGATGCGGGACTCGATCCCAGGACTCCAGGATCATGACCGGAGCCGAAGGCAGTTGCTTAACCAACTGAGCCACCCAGGCGTCCCAAGACTACATTTATCTTGATGAGCACTGAATAATACATGGAATTGTTGAATCACTATACAGTAGTATACCTGAAACGAATATAACACTGTATGTTAACTGGAATTAAAGTTTTTTAAAAATTTAAAAATACGGGGCGCCTGGGTGGCTCAGCTGGTTAAGCGTCTGCCTTTGGGTCAGGTCATGATCCCAGGGTCCAGGGATGGAGCTCCGTGTCTCAGGCACTCTGCTCAGCAGGGAGCCTCCTTCTCCCTCTCCCTCTGCTGCTCCCCCTGCTTGTGCTCTCTCACTGTCAAATAAATAAAATCTTTAAAAAAATAAAATGTCTACACTACCCAAAGCAATCCACACATTTAATGTAATTCCTATCAAAATACCAACAGCATTTTTCACACAACTAGAACAATCAATCCTAAAATCTGTATGGAACCACAAAAAACCCTGAATAGCCAAAGCAGTCTCAAAAAAGAAAAGCTGGAGGCATCACAATTCCAGATTTCAACTTCTATTACAAGCTATAGTATTCAAAACAGTATGGTACTGGTACAAACACAGACACATATTAATGGAACAGAACAGAAAGCCTAGACATTAACCCACAATTATATGGTCAATTAATCTTTGACAAAGCAGAAAAGAATATCCAATGGGGAAAAAGACAATCTCTTCAACAAATGGTGTTGGGAAAACTGGACAGCAACATGCAAAAGAATGAAATTGGACCACTACTGTATACCATTTACAAAAATTAACTAAAAATGGCCAAAAACTTGAATATAAGACCTGAAACCATAAAACTAGAGGAAAACATAGGTAATAAGCTCCTTGACCTCAGTCTTAATGATGTTTTTTTTTGGAGCTGACTCCAAAGGCAAGGGCAACAAAAGCAAAACAAAAAACAGACAAATGTGACTACATCTGCTTCTGCATAGCAAAGAAAGCCATCAACAAAATGAAAAGGTAGAAAAGCTGCAACTCATATATCCATTAAGGGGTTAACATCTTACAGCAATGAAAATCAACTATAAATGCATACAACTTGGAAAAAATCCAATAAACATGTTTAGTGAAGGAAAATAAAAAATACATTTTGTATGATTTCATTTCTATAAAGTTCAAAACAGGCAAATTAAAGAATATTCTTTGAAGATTATCACAAAAGGCAGGACAGTGTTTCCTCAAGGGGAGATGGAGAGGGTTTGGTAAAGGGCATAAAAAGGACTTCTAGAGTGTTGGCAATGTTGTATTTTTGGAACTAAGTGGTATTAATTGTGCTTTATGTATTTTTCTCAATGTCTGTTACATTAAGACAGTTAAAGAGGTAGAAAGATCCAACACAAACACAGATTTTGGAGCTCACAGAAGAGGTTAGAGTTAGGACTTGGCAATGTTTAGTCAACAGGTGACTGAAGCTTTAAATAAGAATTAAAAAATGATATGGGAAGATTAGTGAGCCAAAAACAAAACTACTGTAAACAGAAACACTAAAGGGAGAGAAAAAAGAGATGTCGATTGAAAGACCAAGAAAACCCAGTAATGGAGAAACAGCAAAGAGCTCTAAGAGAAGAAAAGGTCGGAGAGAGGTCAGGCGTATCGAACACTGGCAAGTCAGATGAAGAGAGAAAAGAGGGCACTGGATTTGGCAACTAAGAGGTCATTGGTAAGTTTACAGCAAAATTATAAATCAAAAAGGGAAAAAAAGTCTTACCTCAAGAAGAAAGTCTATTTTCTCTTTATTAGGTCTAAGAAATAGCTGGTTAAATTGAACACTAATCGCTCTACCTTCCAATATATCACGGACTGTGTTACAGGCACAGACTTTAAAACAGATTTCATCTAGAGCTTCATTTCTGTAGAATACAAAAGTAGACCCACTAATACATTCTTTTTAATAAAAAAAAAAAGGTATATATTACAAAACCAAATTCACAAGAATGAGTTATTTATCCTTGAGAGGTAAGATTTTAAGTTATTCAAGCACATGTCAAGGGTGGGGATAGAGCAGAACAGAAAAGTTTCACATCTGTCATGGATGATTTAGTTACAGCTTAGGTAACAGAACCAAATTCTGCTAATTTTTCCCAAGTGCTTTTAAAATGGATTAGATGAACATTAAAGTGGCTTCTCTGGCTGTGTTAATTTCCCATTTACTAATAGAGGTGAAATTGTCACAGACTTAGAAGTAATTTGGAGGTATATTTTTGATAAACCTAAATTGCACTTGCTCTTTTATCCAAAAATAAGAAAGTAGTTCTTCAATTTACTTACTTACCCCTGTTGAGCTTTCTGGAAGAGTTCCCTTAGTACTGACTGCCGGAACTGGACAGGTAAACTGAAGGTTAAGTTATCTTCAATGAAAATCTTTACTACATCCTAGAACACAGACATAAAATTGCATCCAGTTCAAAAATCATGGCAAAGTTTCTTTACTTTAAAAGCCTTTCCAAAAAGAAAAAAAAAAGTCTTTCTATAATGTAAAATATATATTGAAGAAAATCATGAAAATATCTTACTAGGAAAATCTTTTCTAAAACTTTAAAATTAGATTGAGGATAAAAATAGCCACCCACCCTCCAACCCTGCCTTTTGAAACTGAAGATCATGGACCAAAATGAGAGGTGAAGGAAGAAATCAATCAATAAGAAGCAATTCAGATATATTATTAGAAGTTGTAAAAACGTGGGGTGCCTGGGTGGCTCAGGTCATGATCTCGGGGTCCTGCGATCGAGCCCTGCTCAGTGGGGATTCTGCTTCCCCCTCTGTGCTCACTCACTTTCTCAAATAAATTTTTAAAAATCGTAAAAAAAAGTTGTAAAAATGCTTCTCATCCACTTTAAACAGCTTCATACAACAAGCTTTTAAAAATACTAAAACAGGGGCGCCTGGGTGGCTCAGTCGTTAAGTGTCTGCCTTCGGCTCAGGTCATAATCCCAGGGTCCTGGGATCGAGCCCCGCATCAGGCTCCCTGCTCGTCGGGGAGTCTGCTTCTCCCTCTCCCTCTCCCCCTGCTTGTGTTCCCTCTCTCACTGTGTCTCTCTCGGTCAAATAAATAAATAAAAATCTTTAAAAATAAATAAATAAATAAATAAAAATACTACAACAGTTAAAATAACTCAACTGGAAAAAGCATGCAAAGGAACAATTATAATAAATTTAAATGGTTTGGGGCGCCTGGGTGGCTCAGTCGTTAAGCGTCTGCCTTCAGCTCAGGTCATGGTCCCAGGGTCCTGGGATAGAGCCCCACATCA